TGCACATTAAAGATGCATGAGAAAACAGCATACATGTAGAGTATAGTCCACTAGAAAAGGTTGATGATACCATTCAGATTTCGTTTCTTAATGACTTGTCTCTGTAGTTGTACTGTCAGTTCCTTTAAAAAGTTACAGTAAAATGTTCAATTATAACTTGTTCATTTTTATAGTTTCTACTTTTGTGTTGACACTCTCTTTTTCTTCACTTACTGATACTTTATTTTTTCCTTTGCTACTTTCACATGATGGTAGTAGGTACCTTGAAGTAGTTATTGTAACTCAACATCTGATTACATTTACAGTCAGTTTGTACATTTCATTTTCTTTGCAGCTTATTCAGAAAAATGTTGAGTTAAAAACTACTTGTTGTAAATAATGCTTTATAGTGACTCTGAGCTTCATTACATCATTTTGAAGATTTCTGTTTGTTCTGTTTTGTTTTATAGAAATTAACTAGCCTAAATTTAAATTATGAGCTCTTAAATATTCAACACAGCATGAGAAATTTCTGCACAATTTTTCAAACTTTCACATGCTTGTTTTAGCCTGATTCCCTAGTTTCCCACGTAGGCACATAGGGTAGTAGTTCCTTTTCTATCTCCTGTGACCAAATACCTGATAAAGGTGACTTAAGGGAGGAAGAGTTAATGTTTTGGCTCACAGTTTGGGCTTATGATTTGTTAGGACAGGAAAACATGGCCAAGCACGTGGCTCTAACTGTGGCATTTGGAACCATTAAACTGCTGATCTCATGGAGTCTACAATCAGAAAGCAAAGATGTATGCTGGTTCTCCACTCACTTTCTCCATTTCATTCCATATGGCCCTGGCCAACAGGATGATGCCCCTCTACTCTTCAGTTAAAACTCTCTAGAAACCTCCTTTAGACACACCCAGAGGTATATTCCCATGGGAATCCTAAATCCAACCCAAGTGATGTGACCATGGGAGACCAGTTCCCAAATCTGCTCCAGGGTAATAAAGAGAATACCTCAGAGTAGCAGGGACTTGGGAAAGATTCTTATCTGAGGGTTGCTACATTTTTCTACCTGAGGCAAAACACACACTTTCTGCTGATAGCTTTAAAAAAAAAAAAAAAAACAAGCACATGCTATCCTGATGGTAACCTTCTCTTTTACTTCAATTTAAATAATCTCTCTTTCTCTTTCTTGACAATCTCTCTTTACATGCATACATGTCTCTCCTGTTCAATTACATATTTCTATATTCTATATACATCTCTTTCACATGGCTACACATCCTTCTTTTACATATGTTTTTCTTCTACATCTCTTTTCTATACAGCTTCATCTTACTTGCCTCTGCACAGTTAACAAATCTCCACACAGCCACAGCTATACATCTCATTTACATAGCTCTCTTCTCATACAGCACTTTATACAGTTCCCAGTGCAGCTCCTCTACATAGCAGCAGCTCTTCCATCCAGCCCTCTCTCACACTCATATACACATCCTTCTCCATTTTTCACACACTCTTTCCTCGCTCATTCACTCTCACGTCTCTCTTCCACAGCAGCCTTCTGGACATCCTTACACAGCTTCTTCCTCTACACCACTGCTGCCTCTATCATTCTCTTTTTTCATCGCCACTGCTTCTCTGCTGCTTTTCCACACCAAACTTTGGACAATTATAAGTGATATTTTCAGACCCATTCTCAAAACACATGATAAGTAGTGTAGTTTCTCTTAGGCTAGCAATGTCAAAATAAACCATGCATGTAGCTCTAAGTTGGTGAGGAATCCCAGACAGTAAACAACTGGCTGAATCTTGAGGTTGGGGAGTACGTATGTGCAGACTCAAGTTGCTTCAAACTCTGACCTTTTTTTTTTTTTTTTTTTTTTTTTTTTTTTGGTTTTTCGAGACAGGGTTTCTCTGTGTAGCTTTGGAGCCTATCCTGGCTCTCGCTCTGGAGACCAGGCTGGCCTCGATCTCACAGAGATCCACCTGCCTCTGCCTCCTGAATGCTGGAATTAAAGGCATGCACCACGAAGGCCCAGCCCCAAACTCTGACCTTGAATCAGTAAAACAACACCTGTGAAAATGACCTTGTGTGTATCTCTAGGGGCAACCAGATATTGTCTCCAGGGGCAACCAGCCTGTTTTGAATCTGCTCTGAAGTCTAAAGTTAGCTGTCTGTGTAAAAAGGTGTCTTTGTGACTGAGAATCCTGTGTTAGTCTGAGTATGTAAAATATCCTAGTATTATTTCTATTCATCAAAATTATGCAGATAGTAGAAATCATCTTTCTGACCAGTAGATGGAATATTTTCATGAGATAAACACAGAAGCAGTGGGGATACACCCAAAGCTGCTACTAGGGAAGAAATGAAGTTGTTAGGGAAGAAATGAAGTGACAACTCGTGAGAGAAATTATAGACAGGAACAACTGGTTTCCACAGCCAATGACCCCATAGTCTTCCAGATGGGGCTTTCTACCAGGGAATCATGCATCTAGTAGGTTGACCTGCTGAACAATAGTTGTCACCTGCTGTATTCCCCCACAGCCCTTTGCAAAGTGACACTGAAGATTAACATCGCATGTAATTTACTAAGTAGCTAACTATTAGTCACAATTTACTTACTTACCACTTAATTTTTCTTTTTTTTAGCAATTGTAAGATATCACTGTTTTATTTGATTTTTATGCTCAAATCCAGGGCCTTATATGTGCAAGTAGCCACCCTACCATCAAGCTAGATCCTCAACACTTTCAAGATACTTCTATATTTTTATAATTATTATTTGTCATTGATGTATAATCATTGTACATAATGCTGGATTCCATAAGGACATTTTATACAAGTCTATTAATGTATTGTGAACATATTGTTCCTAACCCTCTACTCTTCCCATTTTGCCTTCTGCCAGTCTCCTTCACTCCCTTGGATAATTGGCACTTTAACTTTCATGTCATATATACAACCATGAATGTGTCTATTTAAATTCTAGGATATATAGTGGGACAAAACATGTATTTGTCTTTCTAAATCTAGCATAATTACTAAGTGTGATCATTTCTAGTTACATCTATTTTCCTGCAATTGGCATCATTTTGTTCTTTGTGCCTGAATAAATTCCACTGTGTATGTATGTAGACAACATTTTCTTTATCTATTCCTCTGTTGACAGACTAGAATGGCTCCCTACTTTGGGTGTTGTGAATATTGCTTCAAGAACCACCCATGCATAAGTGTTTCTATAATATGTAATAGTCCTTCAGTTACACACACACACACACACACACACACACACACACACACACACACACACACACACACACACAAAAGAGCACTAACACACACAAAGTGGAGTGGTTAGGTCATATGGTAGTTCCTCACCAGCACTGGTCATTGTTTCTTTGCATAATAACTGCTAGTCTGATGGAATGAGATGAAACTTCAATGTGCTTCATTTTCATTTCTTTGAGGGCTCTGGGTATTGTGTCTTTTTCATGGGTTTACTAGCCATTGCTACTTCATCTTTTAAGAACTGTTCATTTCTTTAATCCATTCATTGATGGTGTTGTTTGATTTTTTTGTTGTTGTGTTTTAGTGCTTTCCTTAATTGTATGATTATTGAAGATTCTTCTCCCATTCTGTAGCCTGTGCCAGAGCTTTTTAATTCCATAAAATTTTATTGTTTGATTGTTGGTATTATTTCCTGAATGACTAGAATCCTTTTCACAGTTTTTGCCTATGCCTCAAATTTGAAGCATTTTAAAAATTTCAGTTTCTTAATTAGGTTTACCTAAAGAATTTTATTATTTATGTGTGTGGATTGTATGCATCTTCACATGTTTGCATGTGTATGTAGGTGAGAGCCCACTTGTGAGTGTGTCTGTGGAGTCAGCATTTGACCTTGGGTATCTTCATCTTTTGCTATAGCTCTTCTCTCTGAACCCAGAACTCATTAGTTTTTCCTACAGTAGCTGGCCCGGCCTGGTCCAGGACTTCACCTGTCTCTGTCTTCACAAACGAGAATTACACTCACATGTCAGCACACCCAGTTTTAACGCGAATGCTAAACTCAGATCCTCATGTTTGCACTTTCATGTTTAGATTCATTTAGTTTTTATCTTCTGACATTTATATTTTTTAAAAAAAATTCTATTTCGGGGGCTGGAGAGATGGCTCAGAGGTTAAGAACACTGACTGTTCTTCCAGAGGTCCTGAGTTCAATTCCCAGCTACCACATGGTGGCTCACAACCATCCATTATGAGATCTGGTACCCTCTTCTGGTGTGCAGATATACATGGAAGCAGAATATTGTATACATAATAAATAAATAAATAATCTTTTTTTAAAAAAGCAGAAGTAACAGAGAAAAGAAACCCTTTTTTAAAAAAAAAATCTATTTCCTTACTCAATTTGGCATCTAAATTGTTAATTCTCTGTCTCTGTCTCTGTCTCTCTCACACACACACTAACGCACTGTGTGTGTGTGTGTGTGTATTTATCTGACCTTATGGGACATCTTAGCAGGTAAGCTTCTGTCATCAATCTTGACAACCTGGATCCAATCCCTGAGACCACCATAGTGAAGGAGAGAACCAATTCCTACAAGTTGTCCTCTGATCTCCAACTGTATCCTGTGTCATGTATATGTACACACACAATAAAATATTTAAAATTTTTAAATCTTATTGAAAGAGAGCAAGGAGAGGTATATGGAGGAGAAGTGATGTAATTCCAATCTAAAACAATAAAAAATAATTTTGAATAATTTAAATCTGAACTCTTATACATAAACCTCGAAACTTTTTGGTTTTCAGAGTAGTATAGTAGTTGGAGAGTGATCTTTGGAATAAGAAAATCTGTATTATGAAATCCATGTTTTGATTGTTGTAGTTTCTCTGCAGTAAGAAAACATAATCTATTCCCTTATATCACATACTTGTTTTAAAGAGGAAAAATGTAAAAAAAAAAAAAGTATATAATTATACTTGGATTCTAATATATTTTTGTAACTTTTTACAGAAGAAGATAAATACAGTATTTATTCACCTTTGCTCTTCAAGTATTTCCTGGCAGAAGGAATTGTCAATGGGCATACTCTGTTGGTTGCATCTGCCAAAGAAAAGCCTGCCGACATTTTACAGGTATGGAATATAGTAATTCAACATACATTTTTGAATGTTTCATGAAAAGAAATTATATACAATCAAGACATTTACTTACAAATTATATTTAAATACATTAATGGGAGCTTTTGTTTTTCTGAATTAGGGTCTCACTCTAGACCCTGGCTGGCTTCAAACTAACAGTAGCCCTTCCCCAGCCTCTGGAATGCTGGGATCATAGGCTTGATTCACCATGCCTGACTCTTTTTCTGATGGTTTAGTTTGGTTTGGTTTTAGTCTTACTATGTAACCCAAGTTAGCTTTGAACTTGAATTTGCTCTCCCATCGTCTTGAGTGCTGGGATTACAGGCACTCATTACCACATAAGGCTAAATGTGTGTGTTGCAGGAGGGGGATTGTTGTTGTTTTATCTAATTGAAAAACATGATTTTTACCAGTTTTGTTTTAAATTAATGTTGCTAGAGAGTTTCTTTTAATCAGAAGTAAAAAATATTAATAAACTATTTAAAACTAAACATAAATTATTGAACCAGACATCATTCATGTTTAATAGCAAAAATACAACAATTAAAAGCTCAGTTTATATTGTTCGCTGAAAACAGAGGGAAGCATACTCTTTTACTTCTAATTGATTTTCTCAGTTGGACGCAAATCATTTTTTTTTTCATCGTAACTGCAACTATATTTAGGCAGATTTTCCAGAACCAAACATTGCTTTCACACTCCTACAATATGAAGTAATTCATAAGAATTCTGCAAAAACTTAACCATATTGATTTTCACTTCTTAAATAAAAGTGTAAGAATTAAGTACAATGTGATAAAGAAAATAAATAAAACTGATGCTTTCATATTCTGGTGTTTTTTGCTACTTTGCATTGTTCATTTGTTTGGTTTTTAGTGTTTTTGAGTTAGGGTCTTTCTGGTATGTAGTTCTGGCTGTCCTGGAAGTCGATATGTAGACAAGGCTGGCCTCAAACCTGAGATCGAACTCATGGAGATCCACCTGGCTCTGTTTCTTGAGTGCTGGGATTAAAGAAATGTACCACCATGCATAACCCTGATTTATGATTTTATTTAACATATGCAGAAGTAAACTGGTTCCAAGTCATTAAAATATTTGGCAGTTTTACTGCAAACATTAAATCAAAGTTTTATTGTAAGCCTACATAAAGAAATGTAAATGTTCATAGCAACATTGCTATATGTAGTTGGTAATGTTCATTGAATTCACTATAATAAGAGAACTCTGAAAATGTTAGCTAGAGAAAAATATCTTCAGTGTGTCTGGAGGTGTATCAATAAAAGGACAAAGATAGAAATCAGAAGGTATAGAAATTACCAATACTTGTCATTTGATAGTCTTTTCCTTTGAGAATATCAGAAGTAACTATTTTCCAAGTAATAAGCAATAATGATAAGGTATATGATCTATGTGCTGTATTTTTTTCTTAAGGCAAGAATGTTTTTGACCTTTTAGAGACTAATTTTGACTTGTGGAGTATTTAATTCCTTTTTCTGGAACAGGACCCCAATTTAAGCCATTAATGATCTGGAGAAGTTTCCTTTTAGCACATAGTCAGGGAAATTTCAGGTGAATGTCATTTATTTTAATCATCTTTCCATTCCTATGACACATTACTTGAGATAATCTTTAAATGCATAAAAGTTGCTGGAGAGATGGCTCAGTGCTTATGAGCACTTACTGCTCCTGTAGAAGAAAAGTTTAGTTATCAGCCCCTACATCAGAAGGCTCGCAGCTGCCTATAACTGCAATTCCAGGATGTCTGATATCCTCTTCTAGCCTCCTTGGGCACCTGTATATACGTGGTATATATAAATTCATGCAGACAGGTACACACACAGATGCACATAAATAAAATACATTTTTTAAGTGGAAAAGTTAATTTTGTCTCATGGTTTGAGTGTTTTCAGTCCATGATCCCTTGGCCTCATTGCTTTGTGCTTGTGGCAGAGCATCATGGGGAGATACATAGTGTCTGCTCACCTCATGGTCTCTGGGGAGCAAAGAGTGAAAGGGAGTTGAGGTCAGAGTCCCAGTTTCTCTTTTAAGGCCATTCCACTGCACACCTGAGCAGCTAACTTCCTTCCAAGAAGCTGCCTTCTTGTAAAGGTTTCATAACTCCTGATAGTACAATAATAGAATGGTAACCAAGCTTTTAAAACATAGGTGTTTGGGGCCAACTCCAGACCTGAAGTCTAACATTATTTATAAGGAATTGATAGCATAAAATATTAATTTTCAACATTAGTCAATGACAGCAACAAACTTCTACACTAAAGCATAAAAGGTACTATAATACTGAACTTAAAACTAACTTGATTCTTTCATAGAGCCCCCCCCCAGGTATTTTTCTATTCAATATATTCTCCATGAAGGCAGAGCTTTTCTCTGTTTTATTTACAGCTATAATTTTGCTGCATATTATAGTGTGTTACATGAATGCATTTTAATGTATTTGAATACTGTAAGGAAATAAAATTGTATGTTTGTAATGTTCAATTTTAGACCTGACTGGGCCACACAGTATCCAGACACTTGGTCAGAGATTTTCTGGGGATACTGTGAGACTATTTTTGGATGAGATTAACATTGAAATTTTTTTTTGTTTGGTTTGATTCGGTTTTTTGTTTTGTTTTTTTTGAGGTAGGGTTTCTCTGTATATCCCTAGCTGTCCTGGAACTCACTCTGTAGAACAGGCTGGCCTTGAACTCACAAAGATCCACCTGCCCCTGCCTCCTAAGTGCTGGGATTCATACCATGCACCATCACTTCCCTGAGACATTGAATTCTTTTATGCTGAGTGAAAATGATTTTTTTTTTTGGTCTAGTATGATTGCACTTTAACCAATCTGTTGAAGGCTGGAACAGAATAAAAGGATTGATTATCTTAAGGAAGAGAATTTTTTGATATGACAGTATTTGAACTTGGACATTATCTGTTTCCTGCCTTCTGACTTAATTGAAGGATCAGCTTGTCCTAGGACTCCAACCTGTCAGCCTTCAGAGTGGAATTACACCTTCAGTTGTCCTGACCTTGAGCTTGCAGACTTGACTCTTCAGACCTTGAAAACTCACTCTACAGGGCTTTGGAATTCGTCAGCCTACAAAGCTACTTTGAGCCATCTTCTTGCAATAATCTCTTAACATATTTATACACACATACATGTGATATTTTAATTTTAATATCTTAAAGCATTCTTTGCTCTAGGCAAGCATAAATAATTCTTTTTTATTTCCATTTTTTAAAATATGCGTTTATTTTTATTTTATGTGTATTAATGTTTGCCTACATATATGCATGTGCACCATGTGAGAGCCTCATGCATACAGAGATCAGAAGAGAGTGTCAGTTCCCTTAGAACTGGAGTTGCAGAAGGTTGTGGGCCTTCATATACATGGTGGGAACCTATCATGAGTCTTCTTCCAATGTTGCAAGTGCCCTCAACCACTGAGCCACCTCTCCAGCCCTCTTCCTTTGTTTTAAAGTTGTCATTATTATTATATTTTCGGGTTTTGTTCCTTACCCCAGATTTACTGAAGTATAATTGAGAAGTGAACATGGTGTATATTTACAATTTACAATTTACATGAGGTAGGGGTGTGTGTGTGTGTGTGTTCATGGTGAAATAATTCCCACATCTATCTATAACCTACCATAGATGCCATTGTTAGTGTAGTGAGAACACTTCAGACCTCTTTTACCTTATGTATACAATGTAATTTTTTTAGCTGTAATCTTGATGCTCCCAGATTTTACTCACAGCCAAAAATTTTGTATGTTTTAACCAGTATCTCCCTATTTCTCTCACTATCTAACACCAGGTAATCACTGTGTTACTTTCTGATATAGTGGGTGTTTTGAAGTTAGGAGTGTGTTCTAGTGATACCATATTCTTTTCCATTTAGAACATTTATCAAAAATATTATATGTTGCCACAAAGCCCAGTGTTTTTAAGCAGTAGCTATACTTTTAATAAAACATGAAGATTTGGTACTTCATTTTGTAATTCTTTTCTGTATAAGTAGCTTAGAACAAATCATTATAATTTAAATGCCAGTTTTGTTTTCCATAATTGAATATTTATCAATATATTCAATAGACCATAAAATTGAATGTATTGGATTTAGAGAAGAAACTATCACATAAAAAAAACTGCAACAACCATACATGTAATGAACTCAAATAAAAACATGGTAGCCACACAAACACCTGCTCAGTCAAACTCTGTACATTACATTGAATTTTTGTGAAGTTAGAATGGCCACTCTAAAGCTATGGAACTTTGCTAAGGGTTTACACTTCTAAATTTACATTTCCAATATACATTTACCCACCAGGAAAAGAAAAAACTATGCCATGGTTGAACGTAGAAGAAAATTAGCTTTAAGTACATTTTATGCCAGCCCCGCCTATCCTTTCACTTGCCTCACTATTGGCCATCCAGCTCTTTATTAGACCATCATATGTTTTAGATAGACAAAGTAACACAATTTCACAGAGTTAAACAAATGAAACATGAAAGAATGCAACACATCTTTGCATCATCAGAACAATGTTCTATAGCATAAACTAATGCAACATACCTTAAAATAATTTGTTACAACACACATACAATAATAATAGAATTATTTCCATTTATAGTAATAACATTATTTGCTTTTAATATAATATCTTTAGATTAGTATTCAAAGATTGCTTTAAATAGTATGCATATTTAACTTTGTGCTACAGAAATCCAATTATTCATTGGTTCATTAAAACGTAATCTGTGTGCTTATATTTAATAAAGCTCTATTATACTTAATTTAATATAGACTCCTGTACTCAGTTAGATTTACTAAATTTCCAGTCATCTCATCTTATATTTCTTATGTTTGATAATGGGAAAGAAGCAAAATTCGATTTTAAACAAATGGTATTCTCCTTTCCTATTGCAAATTCTTATTTTAATCTATGAATGTTTAATGTGGTTCACTTAGTATTTATACATGTT